GAGATATTTGGAGGACACGCATACAAATGCAAAAAGGCATGAGCCTATGTCAATTCCATCAGACATACCACCTATCAATCCACCAGAATACCAAATGGAGGTCTGTGCACCTAAGTGGAAAGAGGTAGAGCAGGCTGTGAGAAAGGCAAGGGCTTCATCATCTCCAGGGCCTAATGGAGTTCCGTACAGAGTGTACAAGAGTGCTTCAGGAGTTCTACGAATTCTGTGGAAATTGATAAAAGTGGCATGGGAAAAACAGGTTGTACCTAGAGCATGGCGCAGAGCAGGTGGAGTCTTTATACCTAAAGAAAAAGATGCTACAAGCATCAGTCAGTTTCGTCCTATTTCACTATTAAACGTTGAAGGTAAGATTTTCTTCAGAATTATTGCTCAGAGATTGTCCACCTTGAAGAATGGCTTCATTGACACTTCAGTTCAAAAAGCGGGCATTCCAGGCCTCTCAGGATGCTTAGAACACATCAATGTTATCTGGCAACGAATTCAGTCAGCTAAAAAGGAGAGGAAGGAGCTCCATGTGACATTCCTGGATTTGGCTAATGCATATGGTTCAGTGCCACATGAGCTTCTTTGGGCAGCATTTGATTTTTTCAGAGTACCAATGTCAATAACAAATTTAGTGAAAGCCTATTTTGGAGATTTGCAATTTAGTTTCTCAACTCCAGAATTCAGCACTACATGGCAATGCTTAGAGGTTGGAATAATGGCAGGATGCACCATTTCTCCACTGGAGTCACTGTCGAGCCCTCTTGAGGTGTCGTGGGCTAGTCGACGAAACACTGAGAACGGAAGGTGCCCACTTGAAGACCCGAGAGATGTCCCCTAATCGGCTCAATCCAGACGGTTGTCGTGCTGGTCCACTGGGGAGACCACATTGTAGTTGCAGCCGTCGCGTGTGCTGACGCACCAAGTACACAGCAGCCGTTAACGCCGGACAGAAGGAGATTCACATCACCATATGGAAAGAAGCGTAAATGGATGGGGAAGCATAGATTACTGTAAAGCTGCGTCTTAGTCTTGGCGAAAGCCGTGTACAAATCAGCATGAAGATTTTAACATCGACTCTCGTGTAATGGAAATCATAAAAGGAAGCGTTACCTAAAAAATTTATTCTCATGAATATTGATGAAAACTTAAAAACTTTTGTGCATTCACTTATTAATGAGAAATTACTGATTAAATATTATATAGTTGAAAAATATTAAGTTATGACTGTTTTATAAGCTTTCGTTCCACCAGGTTCAAGCCGACCCTGGAATCCAAAAGGTGTTTAATGCATTAGGAGTGTTAAACTTAGTTGAAGTATAACTCTGAGAATAAACTAAATATTTACGGAAGCCTCTGATCAGGAGTAATGGTTGGAATAAACTAGTAGACTGACAGAATTGCATCAAGAAGCTTTTGTTTTACCCGACAGACTTCCATCATTTAGACATTTATGATAATGCTGACATTTAAAGAGAGAGAACATTATCTGAGTAAATAATTTTTTTTTAGTGGCTCTTCGACACGAACCCGTCCTAAACAGTATGCCTCTGCGGTCTGTGTTGTGCTTGACAAAAAAAAAAATCTGTCATAATCAATAAATTCCATTTCTTATGTTATTTGTAACAGTATTTATTTATTGATCATTATTATTTTCTAAAACAGTTTCTAAATGTTATTTACATATAAAAATGCCTATTATGTTATTCATGATTAAGTAGTATCTTATTTAATGGAAACTTATTTTTACTGTTAGTTATGCGAGGCAAAAGAAGTTAGAATCAAGGATAAACTGAAAGTCACAGCATTTCAACACAATTTCTGCTCACATTTGGCAGAGGACATATGATACTTATGATAATAATCCATAAGCTAATCATTTGCTCACCCTTGTGTGAAAATTGAGTTTACTAATTTTAATATACGTATCATAGAGCAGAAGCTCAAACGTGTCACATGATGCAGGAAAAGCAATGGTTTGTTCTAGCTTCCTTGTTTACTACAGTACATGTAATGTGCTCATATGTGAATAAAAGCCTTAATTAAATCAGTGTGATCTTATCCCTGTCACAGCTGGAGGCTGTAATGATCTCACAACGATGGAGAATAAATAGAAACAGTCATTAATAATCAACTCACAAAGGAAACATGCAGGAGATTACCAGGAAAAAAGTATAACACAACCTCATAATACAAAGACGACACGGATCAATGAACAGAGGAAACTAAGGGTATTAATACACAGAGATAACAAGGTGACTAAATGAACAACAGGTGAAAGAAATCCAATCAGAAACCATAGAAACTAACTAGCAAACAGAACTCGGGAAAAGCAGCGCAGGGAACAGAATGAACACGAAACCAAAACAGAACAAGGCCGTTACAATCTCTTCACAAGACTTGGATTAAACTGCTTAATTCATTTTACAATGCCTTTATGACCTTTTTAATCTTCTAAGTTTTGGTTACGTAGCATTTCAATGGAGGGACAAAAACCTCGAAAAAGCACCAACCTTAAGGGTATGGAATTACATGATGGTGAGTAAATGATGACACAATTTTTGATATTAAGTATTTACCCTTAATTGCTCAAGTGTTCCGTTGAGTTCAGTTATGCGCTGAATATTTCACTCTAAAACAAAACAAAGGGACCAAAACTGGTCCTTTATGTTGTCTGCAGAACTCAAACGCAATGATCTCCAGCAGAGGGCACTCCTTCCGTCCTCTTTACCAGGAACTACATTCCCATAACCATTTGCCTGGACGCGAATTTTTTTTTTGCAGGGTGGTAGGGGAAGAATCATTAATATTCATTGGGGAACTCATCCGCAATTGGTTCGCTGTCACACGTCACTCAGATTGACATGGCAGGTCAAGACGGTGTCCCCGCAAAGATACAGAAGTTCGCGAAGTTCGTGAGCGGTCTCCGCACAAATCTCCCGGATTTGGATAACCAAATGTTGACAGGTATGACTTACCTTCGTGAAAGTGTCTGTTGTCACGAAGGAGACGATGTCTGTTTTCTCTATCACATCTCATTAGAGATGCGTCACGGCGAGCCAATCAGGGACGAGTTCCCCAATGAATATTAACGAGTCTTCCCCTACCACCCTGCAAAAAAAAAAATCGCTGCCTGGACTCATCATGTTCTGATTACTGCCACATGTTTGTTAGGGGTGTGACGAGACATGTATCTCACGAGAACGAGAAGAGATCTTTGCTCAGTATTTTATAGAAATCCTCAATGACAAAATTCATGACTGGAAAAATAGTCTGCAGGTGCATTTTGAAATGTTTTAGCTGATCATCTTGTAATGAATGTCATTTCAGTTCTACTTTATGAGAATTATCAAATGCATTGAAAGACAACAATATATAAGCACTGTAAAAGGTTTTGCCACAAACTCATCTGACTGGCTTCTCTCAAGTATGATTTTACATGAGTCTCTTCAGACCGTACTGTACTTTAATTATGAGCTTCCAGAACTACTGATTGAGGCTGTGTGGGACCTCCTAATGGAACTATTTTCCACAAATTGAACATAGAAATAAAAACAGTATAAATAACGAAAATAAAGAACAGTTTTTTCTTAGTCTAAGTGCAAACAATAAGTGCAACCATGATTAAAGTACTCTCTCAGTATTCAAGTGGAAACAGAGACCAGAGCCAAAACTACACAGTCCAGAGACAGTTTTGATATTGGCAGACAGACTATTGTATGCAGCCTAATTTGTGCGCATCAGGGAGCTCGTGTTTTCCTTCCACTTTCAAATTTGCGATCGCACGGACTCTGTGTATAGGGTGCGGTTGTGCTGAGCGCATTCTACAAGATAAGACGAATCCTCCGCCATCGTCACGTCTTCTAGTAGCTGTGCCAAGAGAAATCTGAATCATTCCCTTCCGAATCTTGCAGAGCCGGAGAGCGTGAGTAGGAGCTGTCCATGAGCAGCAGGAGCAACTTTATGACTCTGTATGGGATTCTCCCTTGACTTTATCGGACGTTATGCCTCCACGTCCCCCCAATTGCCCGCGAGCTTCTCCTCCTGTCTATACGGTAATTTATCTACTGTGCGACAGAGAGTCGCGTTATTATGACGCAATCGTTAGCCTATTTTTACAAAAACGGCTTCTACGGGGCCATAACGTAAGATACAAGGTAATGGAGCCTTTTATACATTGTCGTGTTTCTTTAGAAATAAATAATGGACAAATGGAGTCTTTAAACGCCTCAGATGTAAAGTTATTCGCTGTCAAAGTGACGCCAAAATGGAATGCTAACAGCAGGTGAAGGCTTGCTAGCCAATGGCGGCCCCCAGGGAGGCTTCAGTTTCCGGCTGGTGGATTACCCCCTTGGTCAAACCACAGTGCAAGTAAATGCAGTAACAGTTCTTCCCTTATTTACACTGCACACGTCTGTGGTGCGTTACGGCTGCGACGAGGTTTTGTCCCATCCTCCAACTCACACCAGGAGCGCTTCAGAAGAGACGCCACTAGATTTGCATGTCTGACTTTGTTTTTCTTGATCTTTGGGGTTCTACCATGGTTAGGTTCGCTAAATGGTTATGTTTTGTCTGGTTTCATTGTGTTTATTTATGTGTTTATTGCTATGTCTTACAGACAAAGTCCAGTTATTAATGAAAATGATAAAATATTTGATTGTTTTAGTCTTTTAAAATACATCTTTAATTATCTTGTATCTATATTTCACATACAGTGCCTGTGAGCAGGATGAGAACACTGGCTTTTGGACGCTGTGTCCATCAAAAATCGACTAGGTTCCTATCTTTAGTGAAGCAGCGCGGAGAGCTTCTGAAACGGCTGGTATAAACACAAGCATTGACTAGAGTGGCCGGGATCAGCTCCGGTGGCCGTCTCGGAGACGTGTGCTGTGTGAAACACTCAACACTTCAGTACAGGTGTTTCTGAAAGACCTGTAACTGCTGAGTGCAAAAACACGCCACTCGCCTCTTCAGGACTAATGCCAGTCAACACTCACTTGTGCAGTGATGAGCTTCTCGGTCTTTGGTTGGCTGGGGTCAGGGAACTCCTCTCCGAAGCACAGGTCCACTGTGTGTCGAGGCTCGGGACCGGTCCCCTGCTGGTGGTTCTGGAGCTCTGCCAAGAAAACAGGGATCAGTGTGAGGACATGCTGAAGAAAGTCCATAAGGAGGACTGGTTTCCCAGGCTAAGCCCTTCCTCTTCTTCACCTTGTATGAAGATGGTCATGTCCAGGAGTTTACAGGTTCGCTCTCGCTCCAGTTTGTTTGGTTTCTGTCTGTGCTCTGCCAGCGGGCCGTCCCAGTAGACGCGGCCCTGGCAGAAGCGTTTGATGAACACGCCGTCCGGAGCCACCCACACCAGGACCCCTTTCTCCAGGTGGGGCAGGAGACGGCTCATGGCTTCAGTGATGCCCGGGGGCAGGCGGACGATGTCTGGACGGGGAAAGAATACCTTCTCGGCTTCACAAGGCCCGTAGATGCGCTCGTTCCCCACCGGAGCACAGCCTTGCAGGATGAAGCAGCCGTCTGGAGACGCAGTCACGAAGTTCTGCACCAGTTTACCATGATAGAACAAACGCACCTCCAGACGACAGTCTACAAACACACACACATCAATACATCTGACACGTGTCCCAATACTTTTCACTGTACATCAACAATACCATAAAAGTTTTATACCATTTTAGTCAGTCTAAGTTTTTTCTCTCAATGAGTGATTAATATTCAAACTCATAATGACGTTATGTTAGTACTTATGCCAGGTTCAGACTTTTTTCCAGACGTTTTGTCTGTTTTGACTCGGACAAGAAACATAATTCCCCTCTGTCAGTTCAAAGCTAGACTAAAAACACATCTCTTTGACCTAGCATTCACATAATACATTATAGACTTCTATAATTCAATGTTAGGCTGCATAGACTAGGTTAGCTGAAACCGAGAACACTTCCCTTAAATCCTGATGTACTCGTTACATCATAAGAAGAATGGCATCTACGCTAATTTTAGTGTCTTTGTTTATCCCGAGGTTTGCTTTAGCCTGCTGGATCCAGGCCGTATCCAGATCTGACGAAGGAGATTCGCCTGGACCGATGACAACGCAGTGCTGAAGTGCCAACTAGCCTCTCCCTATGAAGGATCCCTTTCCCACTCTACAGATAAAGCGTTGTGGAAATTAGGGTTCGCGTACCGACCCCGAAGTGATCAAATAAAATAAAACTCTGTATCAAAATTCATACACTGAAAAAAATGATACTTTGGACCAACCTAAAAAATTACTGTAATTTGTTACAGCTAAATTTATTAGTTTTTCTCAAGCTATATTTTTGATTTGGTTTAAACTTTCAATTTTAATTTAATAGCAATCAAAATAGTTATTCTGCTCAACAAAAAGTTAAATGAACACTGAAGCAGTGTTAAAGTTAACGAGATAATTAAGTGAATAATTGAGTGATGATTGAGCATTATTGAAGACACCTGATGTTAAAGGGTCACTCCACCCATTTGCATTAAGAGGTCCATTGTTAGACAACCAGTCATACTATTGAATGGTCGTGCAACATTCTTTCATTTTCCCCTGAGACGAGAGAAATCTACTATTTACCTTTTTCACTTCCTCCTACAATGACACAAAAATCGTCATTTGACGTCATTGTAGGAGGAAGTGTAAAAAGGGGGGATTTCTGTATAGACTACAAGCACAAATTCCCACCCTTTCAAACCCGCCCATAGGGGGTTGTGCCTAATGCGCTAACAGAGCTATCACAGATCAGTGGGTGGGACTTCACTTGCAGATACTGAAAGCAATATCAGCCATCTTGTTTATAAGCTAAGCTAACAAGCGCTGTGGAGATAGGAAGTTACGACAATGACGGAAGAAACTAAACATGATATGGAAGTAGAGGATTTTGAAATTCTGCTGCTCGAATCCGCTCTTCGTGGCTATCTTTACGAGCCGCAATATAGTGAAGAGCAGCTGAGGCTGATGGAGGATCAGGAGGCGGCTGCCTGTCGCGAACGAGGAGCCCGGACTGGGTCGAGCTGAGGCGGGCTGCTGGTGCCTGTGCTCTCGCTGTGCGCTACGGACACAGATAGAGTCCGTCTGCTGCAGAGAATTTCAACGATCGCAATTTCTCCTAGACGAAATCTCTGAATCAGACGACCACACGGACGTTTGTGTTGTGATGTGAACCATCCTAGTTTCGCCTGACTGAAAATCCAGGTATCATGCAATAATTCACCATATAGAAAGAAATACAAACGAGTAATTCACTAATGAGTTTGCCAATGTAACGGGGTTCGTTGTTGTGGGAAGAAGGAGGCTGGAACCGGCGAACATTTAAACATTTTAATAGTAAAATAAACAAATACAAAACAAAAGTATAAGCCAGCTGGCCACACACAACAGAAACAAAACATAAAATCAGGCCTGTTCCTTTTGTGCTTCCGCTCCTCCGTGAGAGATATGAGACCGCTGCACAGGTGCCATTCATTATCACTCGCGTCGTCCTCTCACGTCCCTCGCCCTCGTCCTGCTCGCCACAGCCAACTAACTAGACATTTTTTGTGAAATGAATTTCAAACTCATTTAGCAGCTAGCCTTCTTGTAGACGGAAGAGTGATTTCTCTGATGTTTGCGCTGTTCTGGATTAGTGGGAGTGGCTTGCGGAGCTGTGCAACGTGGTGCATTGTGGGAGTTGTTGTCTTACATACAAATGCGCCCTAAAGTTATTTTCTGTCTTTTCTCGGTCAAGAGGGCACCAAATTCAAAATTTCTTTTACATTTCGACTACATATATAACCCACTTTCAATAAAGATTAATGTTGAAATGGGTGGAGTGACCCTTTAACAAGCAGAATCACTGAAGGAGAAAACCATATTTTTTAAGTCACCGTTGTTGAGATCAGTTTATGTTTTAGTTGGGCTCTTGACCCTTAACTCATTAACTTTAGATGTTGTTTGGCTGCTGTACGTGAGTTATAACAGCCGGATGAACAAAACATAATCATTATTTTGGAATCATTTGACCTGAATCCCTGAACTTATGTAGAGCCCAAATTAGGTTTACTGTATTAATTATACCAGCACTGTTCTTGTACAGCATAATATTTTTAGCCTTTTTAATGTAATCCAAATTATCAATTCAATAAAAAGAAAACTTCAAAACCCCATATGTTGGCACACACAGACATCAATAATTAGCGTATGCATCTCAGCAATGGTGACAAACATATCACCTCTGAAAACAAGCTCATTATTTATTCATGCAGCAATGCATGATGGGAGCCATGAATGAGTTTTGATTGGTGGTACCCAGAATGCACTGCAACATGCTTTATAATTGTCACCCTTGATGAGATTTCACAGGCTGATTCTTGATGTCTGTGTGTCTAAAAACTAACCAAAATCCACCAAAAAATGTATTTGTATATGAGATACGTTAAAAAAAATCTTTGGAACACATTGTAAAAGTTAAAAATATGATGCTGTACAAGGACAGTGCTATTATAATTAATAAAGTAAACCTAAATTGGACTCTATATGAGTTCAGTGATTCAGGTCAAATGATTGTGAGATAATGATTATGTTAAAACACAACCATCACCATCAGATCACCTTTTCTAGTTGTTCATCTGGCTGTTATAACTCACGTACAGCAGGCAAACAACATCTAAAGTTAATGATTTAAGGGTCAAGAGCCCAACTAAAACACACACTTATCTCCACAATGGTGACTTAAAAATTATGGTTTTCTCCTTCAGTGATTCTGCTTGTTAACATCAGGTGTCTTCAATAATGCTCAATCATCACTCAATTATTCACTTAATTATCTCATTAACTTTAACACCGCTTCAGTGTTCATTTAACTTTTTGTTAAGCAAAATAACATGATTGATATTAAATTAAAATTTAAAGTTTAAACCAAATTAAAAATATAGCTTGAGAAAAACTAATAAATTTAGCTGTAACAAATTACAGTAATTTTTTTAGGTTGGTCCAAAGTATAATTTTTTTGTGTTTGTTATTTGCTTTAAGGAAAACTGAACAAAACAGGTTTAAATCAGAAACTGTGATTTTCACTTTAGTCCAATATAATAATCCACTTTAAATGAACGACACAGTAGTTTCACTTTTTTCAGTGTAGGCAAGACAAGTAGTTTGTTTAGGCATGGTTTGTAGGGAATTACAAACCTGCGCACATATATTCAAACGCACATAACTATAGAATCAATTCGTAATGCGCAGGTGAACGCCATCAGCGTTTATCACAGGTTCGCGTTTAAAGTCTGTTTAGAGAGAACGCCGTCGTCTTAGCGGCCCCTAATTTAATAACAAATGATCATTTCGACGGAAGTGAATAAATCAAAACCAACTTTAGCTGGAAAATAACATTATTCAAGAACCGCTGTAAAACCAAACCAAGCTCTGTTACCTTAAATTATATTAAGTTTATCTCTGTAAAGCTGCTTTGAAATGATCTACATTGTTGAAAGCGCTATATAAAATAAAATAAAAATATATATATAAAAAGATGTGACGAACGTGTCATGGAGGACCGGGAAAACATTAAAGCTGCAGTCCGTAGCTTTTTTGGGTTAAAAATTATATTTTGAGCAAATATATAACCAGCCAGTGTTCAAAACGATCTGCTTGCCTTAGCTCGATTCAAAGCTTGTAATAATGTTTTTAATTCCAGTGGTGCTGGTGGATTTCCGAGGGAAATTCGAGCATGTCTTTTCGTCATTACGTCACATCTGTACACATAAAGAAGGAGTCTCGGCTAGTAGGCTATATTGCGTGTGACGATGTTGGATTTATAGCCTTTTCTCACAGTGACAGCACTTGATATAATTAAACTTATTTGATGGCGGATCCAGAAAGGTTCAAACGACAATCACCAGTGACAACTGTAGGTTCACCTGGTGTAAAATGCAAAAGACTTCGGAGAGGCTACAGAAAAAAAAGAGACTGCAACCGGCCCATGCGAAGATAAGGATAAATATCTGAAGGGCATTAAATTTAATCACGCAATGCTGACGTTGAAGATTAACAATTTGAGAACAACGTATAATTTGCACGGTTTTATGTGATATGATAAGCGATTGTTAGATTTAATCAATGCGATTTACTGCAATGCTTTTTTTCCCTTAGTTGGTCAGAACCAGAACAAAAGTGGATGTTTCTTGTTCAGATGACATTTTCCGGTGAAAATTCTTATGTTGGTCATACTTCCAAAAAGAATAATCTGTGATTCTGAATGCCAGTATCCACACCGGCGGCGACTGACAGCCTCACAGTCTCCTCAAACATTGTGTTCCTCCGCGCTGTGCCGTGCCGAGGCACAACTGACATAAAGTTGATAATTCCGCGAATAACTGCAATTGCAGATTTCGAACAGAGATATGGCGACAAAGAGCAAAAACTTGCTAGTCTTTCTGTCAGGACGCCGTGAAGCATCACAGTCGTCTACTATGACACACTATAGGAGACCATATTCTGGCGTCCTGACACACATTATTGTTTACGAATCACCATGACACCCTACGTCAGGGCTATTCAATTGGCTATTCCAAGTGCGGCCCGCCAACCATCTCCA